AAAGAAATTTTATACCTTCTTATGGTGACAATATACTCTTGTTTTGAGTAATACCTCATCTCTTCAATTTCCTTCTTATAATCTCTCATCTAGACAAATACAACATTAACAAAGATTAATTTTACATATGAAGACGGAAAAAAGAAAAAAAGAAAAGATTTGCTTTTGCATGTTTTACTTGTTACTAGAAAAAATAACATACCGGGAAATTTAGAGATGCCACATCGCCATATATCTTGAGAGCAGCCAAATCATAAGCCTTAGCTGCTGTCTTTTTGTTAATAAACCCACCTATTTAAATCATATACATATGAAGTTTCAAAAGTTTGTGTATGCATGATATGTATATGAAACAATTGCACCTTACATCTTTTGGTGATATATATTGAAATTTAGAAGAACATATATATCATCCTGGATAATACTCACCGACGTAAACTGCATGTACATACAAGAGGAACAAAAGAAGGTTAATTAGTATATATGTCTCAAATGATCTATATTTTAAACACAAAAGTTTATGGACAAACAAATTAAGCAAGTGTTACATAATATTATGAGATGAAAGAGAGAATTGGAATGAAAACTGACCTGTCTTGGGCCTTGGAGCGGTGTTATCCCACACAAATACTTCAAACCTTCCATTAACACAACTGCAAATCAATGTGATATCTAATTAATCCATAATTTGTTACTAAGAAACATTTGTACAAATATTGTACTTAATTTCAACTAATTAACATATATGAGCAATGAAGTACATAAGATATGTTTAAGATTCGAACCAGGTAACTCCTCGATAGGTTTTATTATCGATTCTCTTAACTATTGTCTCCTTAAACCTTTTGCACGATCCTTTCTTTTGTTCCTTCCTTGTATTTTCTTCCTCATGACTGACACAAGAAAGTTTCAAAGTCTATGACATGATCTCATATATTAAACATCTAATTAACTAGCAAGTGGTTATAATCGATTCAAACCTAGTTTCATTGTCTACATTTTGCTTCCTTTGGACACTTCTAGGTTTGCTACTGCTTGCTTCACTAGTTCCAGAGAACAATTCTTTAAAAGTTTGATCCACAAGTTGATATGTTGATGGATGTGAAATAGGGCTTCCAGTTTCTTGGGGTGCAATATTATCTATGGTCAACATTGCATTATCAAAGGATGCATCTGGTGGGGGTTGGGATGGAGCTTGGATTATCTGGTCTATGTTATCAAAGGTAAGATCAGGGAAAATTGGGTTGGAATAATCCTCAGGATAGAAGGACATTGGAGAGAGAGGAGGATATATTTTATCAATATCATAGTAGCTTGATGACATTTTTCCTACATACAATTGAGATATAGAAGAATTAGTCCTGCGAAAAAAGAGAACAATAAGTAAGTCATAATTAAAAAAAAAAATCCTACTAATGCAATATTTATATTCAAAGGGATCTTAAATGTTAGTGTTAATTTCATTTTTTTTTCTTTTTACTCTTTATAGCATACTTATTTGGCTGCAAATCGTTTTATTAATGTTGATATCTTATATGTATATGATTATCTAAAGTAGGTTGTTTAATTAATATATATCAAAATAAGTATGTTAATTATGACAATCAACATATATCATTCTTGTGCTAAGCTAGCTAGATTAAGTAATTTTCTTAAGGATGAAGGTTAAACCTAAATCAAAGTGTCAACAACATTGATTTGTAATGCATATGATATTCAAGGGAGATATCAAAACATCTAACACGTGTAGTATTTGTGATCTAACCAAATGATTTAAGAGAATAATTCTCTAACAACTTTTTAAATTTCGCGCTCGAAATTTCTTATTAATGCTCGTGAAATATTTCATCTCAAGAAAACAACTAAATTTGTGAGCTTCACAATAAAGCTAGACACCTAACTTGACAATATATACTTGTACATTTGACATCTTAGAAGCGTTCTAAACTAGTAGGGGTTGATGATAAAATAAAGAACAAAGGCCTATATGATACCTAGCTATGATATTTTCATTCTTCACAAACTCACATAAAAGCCATATACTATTAAATTTCC